GGTGTGGATCTGGCCGCCCTACCCTACGGCGGGGTAGCTATGTGGAAGAGTGAGACGGAAGGGGCAGGCAGGGCGCAGGAGCAGCTGTCGGGCGGCAGCCGTGGGGTCTGACACTCCGTGTGCTTTAAGTCTGTACAGAATGTGGCTCTCGCCCCGGGGGGCCAGGCCTCTGCAGACGAACCTGATGTTCCTCAAGACCCACAAAACTGCCAGCAGCACCATCATGAACATCCTCTTCCGGTTCGCAGAGAAGCACAATCTCAGTGTGGCCCTGCCTGCTGGCCAGGACGTCCACCTGGGCTACCCTCACTGCTTCAAGGCCCAGTTCGCAGAGGGATTTGAAACCCTGGGACAAAGCTACAACATCATGTGCAACCACCTGAGGTTCAGCCTCCCAGAGGTGAGCGCCGGGGAGGTGCCCTGGGAATGGCCGGCGGTGGTGTTCGCAGGGACCCCCAGATGTCTCTGGGCGTTGGCTTCCCAGGCCACAGTGCGCAGAGGCAGTGGCTCATCCCAGTGCCACGGAGAGATGCACAGTGCTCTGCTGCCAGCCGGCGTGCTGCCCATTCTCATGATTAGCTGAATCGTGGGTGGTCTGATCCGGCTCAGTCCCAGTTACATCAGCTAATTGGGGCTCCCGTGTGTGGTTTTATTTTCCCCATAAACTAAAAACTAAAGATTCTCTGCAAACACAGGCCCCGTGGTTTTGCGTGTTTGCCCTGGCAAACGGGTCCGTAGGGTCCCTGGGTGTGAGCTAGCACTAAGTATCCCTCTGCGGAGGCCTTAACCGTCCTGCTGCGCGTTGCGATCCGCGTGTAAAATGTTTCCCGAGGGAAGAATTAGTCCATTGGCCTTCAGTCACTGCCTAGCGCTGGGCACGGCCGTCGCTCGCTGGCAGCCCCCTGGGAATCTCAGCACTGACGGCTGCTTAGTCAAGATCTCCGAAAGGCTGGAGCTGCCTTGCCTGGCTCGAGGGAGGGCCCTTTGCTTCGAAAAATAGACACACAACTTGCAGGCCCGGCTGTTTGTCTGTCTCCCCTGGATGGAGCAGCGGGGAGAAACCGGCTCCTCGCTCAGGCACCCTGGACACTTAGACCCTGGGGGGCCACAAGGAGCAGTTGGGAGGTGAAATGCGCCCTTGCCAAGGGTGGGCTGCACAGCCCGCTTCCCAGTGCTCCTGCTGCAGCAGCCAGGCAAGTCTAGGTCTCCACACGTGTGGGTCGACTCCCTGCCACTGGCCTGAGCCCAGTGTGTCCTCCAGCCTGCCACGTGGGGCTGGCCTTGAGCCTGCAGCTAGGAGAGCCCAGGTACCTGGGGCACTGTCCCCTAAGCGTGGTTCTCAGCAGCTCCCTTGCACAGCCCAGCAGAGCTCCCCGCACCCGGACAGGGGAATCTTTTCTGGGTCGGGGGCCGTGCACTAGGGAGAGCAAAAACCAAAGGAAACCCCCCCAGTGACGTGGCCCTCGACTGAGGAGACAGACCCTGCCCCCACACCCCTCGCACGCCTGAGCCTCGGGGGCCGATCCAGCCACGCTGGCCGTAGGTTCCCCATGGCCACTCAACCCTAGAAGGAATGGGAGACGAGTGGGCAGGGCCATGTTTGTGGGCGGAGCTAGAGCGGTGTAGCAATGCCGCCAAGCCCCCTGCCATAGCGAGACCTGGCCCTGTTGCTTGTACCGGGACTTTCCCACCATGTCTGTGTCCCCTCCCCCTGCTAATGATCTGCGCGATGCCGTTATCCTGCGTGGTTACCCATAAGCCAGGCAGGAGCCCTTTTTGTGCCACGGAAGCTCTTCTGTGCATACGCAGGAGATACGTTAATGGCCACACTGTGTCTTCTTGTAAACAGGTCCAGAGAGTAATGCCAAACACCACCACCTACTTCTCCATCCTGAGGGACCCGGTTTCGCTGATGGAGTCCTCCTACGTCTATTATAAAACTTATTCTCCAGCCTTTGAAAGGTCCAAGGATGTGAACGAGTTTCTGGCATCTCCATGGATGTATTACAACCTGAGTGAACGCACAAAAAACGTGTATGCCAGGAACTGCATGTGGTTCGACTTTGGCTATGATAACAATGCAGTGGGCACGGAGGACTATGTCCAGGGTGTCATATCGGAGGTGGAGCAGGCCTTTCAGCTGCTTCTGCTCTCTGAGTACTTCGATGAGTCCATGGTCCTGCTGAGGGACACGCTGGGCTGGGAGCTGGACGATGTGGTTTACTTCAAGCTCAACTCCCGAAGCCCAGACACCGTCCAGAGCATGACCCCTGAGAGCAAGGAAAAGGTGAAAGAATGGTGCTGGCTGGACTGGATGCTCTACCAGCACTTCAACAGGACCTTCTGGAGGAGAATTCAGGAGGCAGTGGGGCTGGACAGATTGGCTCGGGAGGTGACGCTCCTGAGAACAAGGCAAAAGGAACTCATGGAGCTGTGCCTCTTGGACCCCATGCCCATAGATAAGTCCAGGGTCAAAGACAAAAATCTTCAGCCCTTTCAGTCAGGCCATGCAAATATTTTGGGCTATAACCTTAAAGACGGCCTGACGAACGAGACTCGGAGAGCCTGCCTGAGACTGATCATGCCTGAGCTGCAGTACATGTCCTATCTGTATGCGCGCCAGTTCCCAGAGAAGGAGAGGAAGAGCGCGCCTTTCCCCTTGTGGTTGTGATGACTGCGTTGGTGGGTTGTCACTATCGCACCCTCCACCAGATTCCTCTCGCGGTGCTCGTGGGCCTGCCAGTGACGTTGGTTCCCCTTTCTGGTGACCCTCCACATTTCTTGATGGAGACTTCAGGTCCAGGGAGGAGAGGGCTGACAGGGTACGTGGCAGGCACACACTGCTCCCTGGCTGTCTCCAGCTGGAGGCTTTCCCTAGCTCCAGCCTGCTGTGGGGACGTGGGCTAAAGAACCAGGGCGCTGTGACTGGTTCCCTGAGCGTCTCGGAGCAGAGAGCAGCCTTTCCTCGGGGAGCACAGGCCTCGTTCAACCACAGCGCCAGGTCAGTGCAAATACCCGCATTGACAAGCGGAAAACACTGCCCAGAAGCGGCTCCGCCCGAGAGTGTCCTTGCCCGCAGGAGGCTGGAGCAGCCCAGCTCAGTTCCCTGCCCACAGACATTCCAAAGGCCGGACTACGTGGCTAACACGTCCTGGGGGAAGCTTTATATTTAGAATCCTAGAATCCCAGGGTGGACAGAGCCCTCAGGAGTCACCGCGTCCAGCCCCCTGCCCAAGGCAGGACCAACCCCGACCCAATCAGCCCAGCCAGGGCCCTGTCAAGCCAGGACTTAAACATCTCTAAGGATGGAGATTCCACCCCCTCCCTAGGGAACCCATCCCAGTGCTTCTCCACCCGCCTAGGGAAATAACTTTTCCTAATATCCAACCTAGACCTCCCCCCCGTAACTTGAGACCATTGCTCCTTGTTCTGCCACCGGTCACTACTGAGAACAACCATTCTCCATCTCCCCTTCAGGTAGCTGAAGGCTGCTCTCAAATCCCCCCTCGCTCTTCTCTTCTGCAGACTAAACAAGCCCAAATCCCTCAGTCTCTCCTCGTAAGTCATATGCTCCAGCCCCTGAACCATTTTGGTCGTCCATCCACATCATTTCTATAGTGGGGGGCCCAGAACTGGACACAATACTCCAGATGTGGCCTCACCAGAGCCGAATAAAGGGGAATAATCACTTCTCTGGATCTGCTGGCAATGCTCCTCCTAATGCAGCCCTAATATGCCATTAGCCTTCTTGGCTACAAGGGTCCCCTGCTGACTCATCTCCAGCTTCTCATCCACTGGAATCCCCAGGGCCTTTTCTGCCAAAAAATATCTCAGCGGATCGGGTGTACTGTATCTTAGTGGGTTGGGTGTATTGTAGTTCAGCGGGTCGGACATGGAGCTGAGCAGACACGAAGCAATGGGATCAGACTGCAGAGACGCAGTGTCCCTTTCAGACTGGAATACATCAACCCTGCACTTATAAAACTCGCCGCTGGGCCCCCTCTGTCCTAGCCATTCCCCGTGGGGGAGGGGCGTAGGGTCAATCAGCCAGCAACGGCAACCTCCCCCCCTTGCCTTTTTAGTAAGGAGCCAGCAGTCTCCTTGTTTCCTGTACAAATTTTCCTATCCCTTCCACACCTTTACCCAGTTCCTAGGGCTCAAGGTGCAACCCTGCTGTTTACACACCCACCCTCACCCAATTCCTAGGGCTCAGGGCGCAACTTCCTGTTGGTTTGCAGGATCTTTAGCCACTGAAAGAGCCTCACCCAGTAATCTCCTTACCCTCGATGTATTGACAATCCCCAGGCAAGCAGAAGACACATGCTAAGCACACAGTGTCTTGCTCACCAGTCCTGATCCAGGCAGGCAGACGTCCCCTGCTGGCCAGGCAAGGGCAGTCTCTCCGGATCCTGGCTGCTGCACATCATGGTCGTGCAGAGGGGTCCTGGCAGCTCTGGTCTTACCTCCAGGACCCAGCCTGAGCTCTTCCAGGTCTTCCCCCTTCTTCTTGGTCTTCCTTTCTTTCCTTCTGCTTCCATTACTTTCACTCTTCTTGCTGATCTCCTCCTTGGACCCAGTTTATATAGTGAAACCTGAGTCCTGCTTAGCTAGACCGGAACCAATGATTTTAGTGTAATTTTACCAACCAATCATAACACACTGTAACAGAATTACCGAAGCAATCGTACCCCACCACCGTGGCTGATTACACCTAGCAACATTAATTATCCAGCAGACAGAGACAGTTACAACCCACACAGGGATCGCACAGACCAACAACAGGCAAGTGAGGACAATAATCACAGAGTGCGGATTCCACAACCACAACTCTGGAGAAGCAGTTTCTGGCCAGCCAGAAGGGTGTTAAGTTTTCTTTACCCATCTTGAGATCTGTGTCTGTCCGGTGACTGGGGAGCTAGCAGGGCACAGTTGCTCCTCACAGCCTGGGGTGACGCTATTTTAATGCAATGGAGATGGAATGTGAGGATGTGCTGCAGATGTTACAGCTCATGGCTGCTGCTCTTCTGTTTGGCTGCGGAGGAAGGCTTGGTTCAGGCCTTCCAACATGGTTACAGAAAAACCATCTTGTTACACCCTCACGCTCGGTGGGACGGGCCCTGGGGGGCAGAGTACCACCCTCAGAGGCATTACCCCCCCTGAAATTTAAGGGCAGCGATGGGGTTATGCAAATGCCCCTTTTGAGGAGGAGCATGGTCTCGTGGAGAAGTCATGTGACTGGGCATCTGCATCCCCACCTCTGCCACCGACCTGCTGAGCAACCCGGGGCTAGTCACTTCTCCTTCCCCCTGATCTTTGTCTGGCCGATCTGCTCACACTGCAGCTTCTCTGACCGGGACGTCTCCAATCGTGTGTTTAGTCAGTGGGAGCCCAGCCTCGGCCAATTAAAGAGGAACCTCTTGATCAGTTTGGTAAGCAAACCAGCGGGCAGCCAGCCCTCTCTGGGCTCTCAGCCTGCCACATCCAGCCATTCCCAAGTGCAGGGTGCGGCGAGATTGGGCAGAGGGGTTGCCAAGGAATATGTAGTTAGTTCAGGAAGGGAAAGGGGGGTTTGGTGGATCTGCACTGAGATTGGAAGGTGTGCCCTGCCGTGCTGAGAAGGAGCCGGGCACGTCCTCAGCCATGTCACTGGCCACAGCACCAGACCATCCATTGCCCCCTGCTGGGAATCTGCCATGCGACTTCTCGCTCTTTCATTAAAAGTTTCTTTTCTACGCTCAGACTCTATGCGTGCGAGTGGGGAAGCATGGCCTGCGAGGTGCCCAGGGGCGTGTGCATTCCCAGGCTATGGGGGGGCTCGAGCCGGCTCTGTGTGAGATGGACGAAAAGGCCCCTCTAGGCTGTGGCTACACTTGCACAAGAACACAGCCACATGGCCATGTGCTTTTGCACAAGAGCATCCATGGCAGTGCGGATGCTTTCCTCCACCAGGAGAGGGGGGCTGGGCCAGATGTGCTGGGGCTGGTGCAGCCCTTGCTGCCTCCCGTAGGCTCTGGGCCACCACGTCGTGTCCCAGGCCCCGTGGTGAATGGTTTCATCAGGGTCCCCAAGGGTCTACAAGCTACAGCAAAATAAAACCAGAGCAAACCCGCGGCGCCGGACCCAACGCTCGTCTGCTGGCTGCAGGCGGGTGCCTACGACGTCTACTCCGTGTTCACTGCACGGATCACCCTCCTGCTCCAGCTAGTACCTAGGTGTTCAGCGTCTCGCTCCACCCCCCTTCTCCACTGCCCCAGGGCGCTTAGGGCGGCATCGACACTCCGGGAACAAGCCGTGGGCGCCTTACGTGGCTGAGCCACAGCAGGGAGCTGCGCCCGCGTTCTTGTCGCATGCGCACAGGCCTCCTGGTAGCCCCGGGACACGTGGGATTGTTGGCTGCTTGTTTGCGTGACCGACTCTCGGGGCTAATGGCAGAGAAGAAGCAGCCAGAAAAGTCCCAAGAGAAACCCTGCGGCAGCTGCAGCCTTTCCAGCCCAGGCGG